GGTCAGGGCGGTGAGCGGTACTTTTTGCTGGTTGTCGACGACTACTCGCGTTACACCACGGTCTTCCCCTTGCGCACCAAGGGTGAGGTCCCTGCTGTTCTGATCCCTTGGATCCGCACAGTTCGTCTCCAGCTCCGCCGCCGTTTCCGGACGGATCTTCCTGTCCTGCGTCTGCACTCTGACAGAGGTGGTGAGTTCTCCTCCGACCTCTTGAGGACCTTCTGTCAGGCGGAGGGCATCGAGCAGACCTTCACGCTTCCGGACTCCCCACAGCAGAATGGGGTTGCTGAGCGCCGCATTGGCCTAGTCATGGAGGTCGCTCGTACCTCCTTGGTCCACGCGGCGGCTCCCCATTTTCTGTGGCCGTTTGCTGTCCGGTACGCCGCGCATCAGCTCAACCTCTGGCCCCGTGTCTCCTTGCCGGAGACCTCGCCCACACTGCGTTGGACGGGGGAGGTTGGCGATGCGTCGCGCTTCCGGGTGTGGGGTGCTCGTGCCCTTGTCCGCGATACGTCCGCGGACAAGCTCTCCTCCCGCACGCTTCCCTGTGTCTTCCTTGGCTTTGTCCCTGACGCGCCTGGCTGGCAGTTTTACCATCCCACCTCGCGCCGGGTCTTCGCCTCTCAGGACGTCACCTTTGACGAGTCGGTCCCTTTTTACCGTCTCTTCCCCTACCGCACTGCCCCCCTCCCTCCCCCGCCGCTGTTCCTTGCTCCTGGTCCCCCTCCGGTAGACCCCCTCCCCCCTCAGGGTCCTGCTCCTTCAGGTGTCTCTCAGGTAGACCCTCCTCCCGTCGCTGAGCCTGTCGAGGTCACAGGTGACTCAGGTGCTGCTGCAGGTGGTGCTGCTGGGAGTGCTGAGCCTGGGGGTGCTGAGCCTGCGGGTACTGAGCCTGGGAGTGCTAGGGCTGCGGGTGCTGGGACTGCGGGTGCTGGAGCTGGGGGTACTGTGCCTGAGAGTTCGGCGCCTGGGGGTGCTGAGCCTGGGGGTGCTGTGTCTGGGGGTGCTGAGCCTGCGTGTACGGAGTCTGGGGGTGCTGAGCCTGGGGGTGCTGCGCCTGAGGGTACTGAGCCTGGGGGTGCTGCTACTGAGCCTACGGAGCCTGGGGTTGCTGCGTCTGGGGGTGCTCCGGTTCGGGGTGCTGAGCAGTCTCTCACACCGCAGGAGCCTCGTGACTGGTACGTCCGGCGCTTTCGCCGTTCTCGTGGCTCTGCTGGAGTTTGGGGTACTGGAGCTGCCGGGACTGGTTGTTCTGGGAGCACTGAGACTGGAGCTGCTGGAGCTGGGGACTCTGGAGCTGGCGGTGCTAGCGGAGTTGGAGCTGCCGGCTCTGGGGGTGCTCTTCCTGGCGGTACTGGAGCTGCTGGAGCTGACGACACTGGAGCTGACGGTTCTGGACACGGTGGTCCTGCTGGTTCTGGAGGTGCTGGCGAGGGGAGGTCTGACGCTGCTGGGGCCTCTGGTGCTGACGTCGTCGACTCGGGGGGTGCTGCGGCGGAGGGTGCTGGTCCTGGTGCTTCTGGTGCTGCGGGTGCTGGAGGTGCTGGCGGAGCTCCGCCGTCGCGCCTGTTCTTTGCCCCTCCGTCGCCGTCAGCTTTGCCGCCGCCTGACACGGTGCTTCGCCAGGTTCTTTCCCTCCCGTCTTCCACTGGCCTTCCTCTCCAGCCTGGCTCCCCCCTCCCTGCTCCTGTGCCTTACACTGCACAGCCGGACTCGCTTACGGAGCGTCGTGAGCCTGCGTCTCGTCCTACCTCGCCTGTTCGCGCTGCTCGCACTGCTCGCACTGGTCCCACTGGCCGTCGTGTCCCGCGTCCGCGTCCTCCTCCTGTTCCTGGCACGCACATTATGGCACTTCGTCCTTCCACTGGTCCACAGCGTGTCCCCCTACCGTCTCCACCTGCGTCTTCTCTTCCTGACGTTCCCGACCCTGAGTCTGACAGTGTTCGTGCTGCCCACCCTACTGTCACGCGTCTTCTCGCCACTGTTGTCACTGACCCGTCGTTTGAGTCTTCTGCTGCGTCTGCCCTGGTCGCTGAGCTTGTCGACTTTGCTGCTGCCTGTCGCCTCGACTACGCCGCCAGTCTTGTTGCTGGGTCTGAGTCTGTCTGTCCTCCGTCCGTCGGGGGTGAGTGTGCTCTTGGCACGGACGTCCTTGAGGACAGGTAGGAGGACTTTGACTCTCTTGCGGCTGCTGTACCTCATCTCGTGGCCTGGTTGCTTGCCCCTGAGGGAGACCCGGATGCACTAGACATCCCCACTCCACGCACTTACGCAGAGGCGATCTCGGGTCCCTACTCCTCTCAGTGGCAGACAGCCATGGACGCAGAGATGGCATCCTGGAAGTCCACAGGCACCTACGTCGACGAGGTTCCCCCTCCTGGGGCGAACATCGTCGATGGCATGTGGATTTTCAGGGTGAAGCGGCCGCCAGGTTCTCCGCCTGTCTTCAAGGCTCGTTACGTTGCTAGAGGCTTCAGTCAGCGTCAAGGGGTTGACTTCTTCCAGACCTTCTCCCCCACCCCGAAGATGACCACTCTTCGGGTTCTACTGCACGTTGCTGCTCAGCGTGACTACGATCTCCGCCAGGCGCCACGTGAGTGGCACGACACACTGAGGACTACACTTGCGGCTCTTGGGTTCGCGCCGTCTACTGCTGACCCGTCGCTGTTCCTGCGCACAGACACGTCGCTGCCGCCGTTCTACATCCTCGTGTACGTCGACGACTTGGTTTTTGCTACTGCTGACACTGAGGCACTCGCTCGTGTGAAGTCGGAGCTGCAGAAGAGACACACCTGCACTGACCTGGGTGAGCTGCGTAGCTACCTTGGCTTGCAGATCACCCGGGACAGAGCACGCCGCACCATTACCCTGACTCAGTCACACATGGTGCAGCAGGTCCTTCAGCGCTTCGGCTTCCAGTTCTCCTCACCACAGGCCACACCTCTGGCTACCAGCCACTCGCTCTCAGCTCCACCTTCGGACGAGTCCGTAGAGCCGAGTGGCCCGTACCCAAAGCTTGTAGGCTGCCTCATGTACCTGATGACTTGCACGCGACCTGACCTCGCGTACCCTCTTAGCATCCTTGCTCGTTACGTTGCGCCTGGGAGACACAGGCGAGAGCACTGGGAGGCTGCTAAGAGGGTGCTGCGTTACTTGTGCAGTACGTCAGGCATGGGGCTGGTGCTTGGAGGACGCGACAGAGTTGTCCTCACTGGTCACTCGGACGCTTCTTGGGTGGACGACCTGGCTACGCAGCGGTCGTCACAGGGTTACACCTTCAGCCTTGGCTCTGGTTCTGTCTCGTGGCGGTCCACCCGCTCTTCTTCTGTTCTCGGCTCTAGTTGTGAGGCTGAGATCTACGCCACGGCCATGGCTGCACAGGAGTTACGCTGGCTCACCTACCTGCTGACTGACTTGGGAGAGCGGCCTAGTTCTCCTCCAGTTCTGTACGGTGACAACAAGGCGGCCCTTGCCTTGTGTCAGGAGCACAGACTGGAGCACAGGACGAAGCACATTGCTCTTCGCTACTTTCTTGCTCGAGAGCTTCAGCAGCGCGGTCAGCTTCGGCTTGTGTACGTGGACTCGAAGGCCAACACTGCTGATATCTTCACCAAGGCGCTCCCGCCTAGTGATCATCAGCGACACTGTACTTCTTTAGGCCTTGTGTCCACATTCCCTCATTTGCTTACTGCTTGACTTTCTTTGTACTGTACTTTATATATCTTGTTGCTTGCTTGCTAGGTTTTGATCACTGTGTTGCTTGTCTTGTACTATATCTAGCACTGCATGTGAACTGGCCTTGTGGCCTTTGCTTGTGCTCGGAGTGTGGTGACGTTGTGATCCACCCTGGGCTTGCGTTGCTTTGCTGGACTGGTCTTGTGACCCTTTGTTCTCCCCCACTTTGCCTATGGGGGTGTGTTAAATTGTAATGTGTTATATGTTGGTAGGCTGTAGTGGGGTAGCCAATATGGGGTACAACCCCAACTAGGGTTTACTACTTGTACCCAACTGTTTCATTCAATGCACCATTCTTGCCTAGTCCTGTTGATACATGTGACCCTTTGCTCTCCCCCACTTTGCCTATGGGGGTGTGTTAAGTTGTAATGTGTTATATATATGTGGGTAGGCTGTAGTGGGGTAGCCAATACAGGGTACAAACCCAACTAGGGTTAGCTACTTGTACCCAACTGTTTCTTTCAATGCATCATTCTTACGCTAGTATTCTGAAAGTTAGTACTATACCCCCCCTTTTGGGGTGATTTTTCATAACACCCCCCTTTCCATATAGATTTGTTATTATAATAGCTGATAACGAGTGCGTGCAAGTATGGGAGGACGCGAAAATCCCTCCCTCTACGAAATTACACGGAACTTTCAAATGAAATCTGCCGAGATTCCCCCCCCCTCCCACAATTTCGCTGTCGCCAGGCTGGCGAATCTTTCGTGGTCAAGTGGCCAAAGAGGTGCCACATGCCATCTCCAAGGTGGTCAAGATATCAGTTGCCGAAACTCGGGTTCCCGCCTCTGAGTGTGCTAGTTAACCAACTTCGAAAACACCGAAGCTGTCGATTTATAAAAATCCTTACCGTATGTTGTAAAAATGTCATATGAATAGACCCGGGTATTATAAAATATTTTCCGTTGAGGAGACCCCCCCGACTTTTTCCCAGTGGTTATCATAATACCCCCGGGTGTTTTATCCGGGGGAATACGGTATCTACCGACTAGGGACTTGCTGGGGCGAATAAATTCACATGTGTGGAAAATACCCCTCATGAACATTATTACCGCCACTAACACCTGACTGGTAGTCGGCTAGGTAATGATGTTTAAGGCACTGTGTGTTGGGGCAGGGAAAGGTACTGGGCATGAGAAATTTGCAGCTGCCGGCATGCCATAAAGGAGGGAGACAGAGCAATGATGGGGATGGGTGATGAAGAAGTTGCTGGTATGGCAGCGGCATGGCATTGGGTACGCAACGCAGCACGGGCATTGGTGAGTCAGGTAAGAAAGGCTTGGCTCTCATCCCCCGACTCACTCTCACTGCCTGACAGCATCCGCCCAAGTGGCACCTCCCCCACACCCCCAACTTCTGTGCCTCCCTCCGCCCCCTCCCGGCTTTCTTCCTCCTCCCCACTGCCTGCTGCCTGTGCTGCGGTGCCGTGCAGGGAGCAGAGGGGATGGCGGTGGTGGTGCTGGGCGTGCAGCAGTTGGCGCGCGTGGCAGTGCAGCAGGTGGGAGCGTGCTGTGGTGGTGACGACAGAGGCGAGGAAGGAGAGGATCATGAGCGCCACCACTCCCGACCACACCGTGCCCACCGACACCGCAGATGATGCCACCACCTGATGCCATGTTCAACCCGTGCATAGCAGAGGATTGCAGAGGATTGTCAAGTATCGGCATAATTGTGAACTATTCACCGGTTTGTCCTGGCAGGCTTGCATTGCATGGCAGTGAGCATGCATGCTGGCAAGGGCCAGAGGTGGAGTACTCAGAGCAGCGAGTGTATGTGAGGGACAGCCAGGGTGGGTTCGCCAAGCAAGCAGTGACGATACGCAGTTGACAAACAAAACGTGGTGCGCGCTGCACACAAGGGGACGAGAGGAGCGGGCAGTGTGTGTGGGGAGGGAGCGGGAGGGGAGGAGGGCACTGACCACAGCATCGCCATGGGCCAGGCGCTGCTTGGCGGTGTCGAGCGCTGTGAGCAGCGGCGGCAGCAGCGCGGAGAGGAAGGGCAGGTGCGTGAGCAGGCGGTCGAGCAGCGCCTCCATGACGTCCACCGAGTGCTCGTGGCTCAGAAACACCACCGCCAAGGCCTGCCCCACGCCGCCCACGCACCAGGTGCGGACGGAAGGGGAGGCGGGTGAAGAAAAGGGAGAGGGGGGGGAGAGAGCGAAGAGGAGAGTAAGACAGGGCTTGCAAGATAGTGAAAGAGCAAGAGCGACAGGAAGAGGGGGCCGGGGGAAGGGGGAGGGGTGGGGGGGAGAAGAGAGTATTCGTGGTGGGAGGGAGGCATGTGAAAGAAATACATGGACAGAGGGGTGGGGCTCGGAGTGGAGAAAGAGTGAAGAGGCCATAGGAGCAGTGCGCACCTGCAGCGTTGTCTTGACAATGCCCTTGCCGAGCAGCGTGGCGAGGAGGAACTTCCAGCACGGGATGAGCAGGTGCCCACACGTGATGCCCGCCAGGTCAAATATGGGGTTCGGCACCTGACCCATGCAGCACGGCAGCAGCACGGCACGCACGTGAGCAAGGCGCAGTGGAAAACTGAGCGAGCGATATTAATGTAATGGGTGACATTGGCATTCAGCAACACTGGGTTTGGGCGACAGTGGGTTTGGAAAATTCCGGTGATGCACGGGGAGCAACTGACAGCGGCGAGCAGGAAGATGGTGCCAAAGCCGAAGCGGTGGCCGGGCGGCAGGAAGCGCAGGAACAGGCGGTGCAGCCACGAGTCGTGCTGCTCGCCCTCGCCCTCCGCGCCCTGCTCGTCCTCCGCGCGCCCCTCCAGGCTCCTGATGCTCTCCCCGGACACACGCGCTGCCACCACCACCATGGTGCCGCGCATGGAAAAGGGGCGGAGGGGTAAGGTGGGGATCGTTTGGAGATGAATGGCGCAGTGTGGAATCACACGTGGACAGGCGAGCATATGAGCCCCTGCACGCCCTTCCTCCCGCTCCCAACAGACCTCAAACCCCCAAACCCTTCCCTCCCTCTTCACCCCCTCTCCCCTTCTCCCTCCCACCTGCGCGCGCGACGAGGAAGGGCGGGAGTTCCCCCAGGGCGGTGCCGGCGCCCCACAGCAGCACCTCGGGCAGCACGGCGCGCAGCAGCAGCGCCAGCGGCACGGCGTGGAAGCCACCGTGCGCGGAGGGCACGTGGGGGAAGAGCGGCGGGCCCAGCGCGGAGCAGTGGCGCGCGGACCAGGAGGCGGCGGACGCCCACTGCGCGGTGTCGTAGGGCGCGCGCTTGATGTCGGGGCGCCCGCACGCCGTGGCCTTGAGCGTGAAGCGCGCGAGGTGCGGCGACAGGTACAGCACAAACGTGTGCAGCCCCGAGCCTGGCACGGGGGCCGCGCGCGAGGGGGAACGGAAAGGGGGTGGGGGGGTTGGGAGGCGGGGGGAAGGAAGGCGGGGAGAAGAAAGGGGGAAGGGGTGGGGGAAAGGAAGGGGGGAGGGACGGGGGTAGAGGAGGTGGGGGGGGGGGGGAAAGAGGCGGGGGGTGGTGTTTGAAGGGAGATGATGCGCGCGGAAGCAGAAGTAGCGAGGAGAAACACGGGGCGAGGCGGGTTGGTGCATGTGGGAGAATCTGGAAAGCGCAGCGAGCGAGACGCAATGGGGTGCGGGTTCAAGTCGACGCAACGGCGGGACGGCGTGGAGCGGGCGCGCATGCGTGGCGAGGAGGGGCGTACCAAAGCCGATGGACGATGCGACGCCGAGGCAGATCCACCACACGGCGAAGCGAAGGTACGCGAGAGCCTCGTGCACTACCTGCGGGGGGGCCACGGGGCGGGGATCACGCGCGCACGGACGAGAATAGCGGGTTTCTGGGCTGCGGATCTCGTGATGCGTGCGGGAGTGCAGCGGCTCGTAACGAGGGAGGGTGGATCAATGTGCAAGCTCCTCTTCTCCTCCCCTCCCAAGGGAGCCCGCGCCCGGCCCGCGGCGCTCACCTGGTTGTCGGCGCGGTCCAGCGCCACCATGAGCGCCAGCACCCACCCCGCCGCCATCAGCGCGCCGCACATGGCCCGCGACCCGCGGATGGCGGCGGCGGTGGCGGCGAGCTGCTCGGAGACGGCGAGGGCGAAGTAGCGCAGCGTGAGAAGCGGACGCGACGTTAACGACAGCCCGTCGCGCTGCTGCCGTAGCCGATGACGCAACGCTGCGCAGGGGAGGGCCGACGGATGACGGGCCAAGGAGCGCAAGGGTTTGCTCTTTATCTAAAAAAACTTCAAAAAAAAAAAAAAAACATTTCTGTGTTTCTTTGTGTTTTGGAGAGAACGGAAGTCATGCGCATGTCATGTAGCTGTATATGCAGCGCGGCATAGGCCTACACGAAGCAGAACGCCGCAATATGGGAAATCAGAGCGCGGAGTTAAGGCACGGGGAAGGAAACGGGTGCAGGACCGCGCGAGGACGCACCTCCAATGGCGGCGTCCGTGTGGCAACAGCAGCCATTGCCGTCATCCTCGCGCGCCACCAGCGCATCGTCATCCCCCGCCTCGCCGGGCAGAGCCTCCTCCGCGAAGAGCGCGCCCGCGGACCTCGGCACGGGCGCGGGCAGCGAGGCCGGCACGAGGTCGGGCTTGGGCGAGGTGACGTCATGCGCGAGGAAGGCGTCGACGGTGGCGCACTCCACTGCGGGCGCGCAGCACGTGGAGCCCGCGCCACGCATCGCCGCGACGTCGCGGCTCTCACGCCGTTGTGTTGCGGTGCAGCCGTGCCACTTTCTACAGACCCTGCGCCCACACAGCAGCTCGCCTGTCCACCAGCACCGCGGGGCCCCAATGCCACCTTTATCAGCTACGACAGCTCTTCTTTGCCGCTCGACTGCTTGCACTGGGCTTAGCTCGCGGTCGTAAGTGCTCTGCTGATTGAGAGAGCGACAGACGTAGCACAGAGTTACGCTCTAGTTTCGGTATTTTGGACGGGTCGATCTAGATCCTAGAGGTGGTAGCGGGTTGATAGGGCAAATATGGCGCAAGCTTGCTCGTCCTTGGTTTCTTTTGTCCTATCACAACGAAGTCCTACACAAGCAGCTCTCTCTCTCCCTTTACCACCCTCCCCCTTTCCTCCGCTCGTTGTAGTAGTGTGTTATACTTTCTTACTAGAGTATACCCCACATTGAAAAACAGACTTTAGCGATCACACTCCACTCACCTCTGACATGAGTCTCATATGAGCTTGCTCAAGCAGCATACCTGGCTAAGGGCAGAAAATGAACACCATAAAATAGTGTCCAGAGTACCGACAAATCGTGAAGCTATCGTACGAGGTTTTGTCTTGCTGGTGCGGCAAAAGTGTGACGCAGTGGATAAAACTCCCACAACCACTCTAAAGGAACGCCTCAGCCGTAACCCCGCTAATGGCAGGGGAGCCTGGGTCGCACCTTGGATCAGGCAGGGATCCCCAAAACCCATCAGATTCCTCGTTTTCTCTCCTTGCCCTGCTCCCCACCATTCCTTGCTCCGAGTCGGACGAAAGAGTTCCGCAGCACTTGAGTCGCAATCGCAATAGTTCCGCCAAGGTTGGGGGTCTGTGGGGAAAGGTTCGGGGGAGTGGTGGGGGGGAGACGCAAGCAGCAGCGATTGGCCAAATTGCCCCCCCCAAACGAGAGCCAATAGATATCTCACGGTGTGTAGCTGTACTATATGAACACAAATAACCCAGTGAGAAGCTCCTTCAGACAATGTAGTCCATATATTTGAGGCTGTTTCGGTGATTGTGATCGGACCAACGAATTTGCGATCTCAATAAACTTCGCGACCACAAAAACAAGCTAATGTCCGGCCTACACCACTGATTCCTTTCCTGGTCGCTAAGAAGCACATTAAACCTGCTGTTTTTGTTTTTTTGCTCCACAATCACCTCCCATGGTTCTCCTCCTCTTTTGTGGCGCGCATACTGTCCGGACCAGGAAAATGTGCTGCGCGCCAGTCGGGTGTGAACCTGACAATGCTGGAAAAGCTGGGGATGTACACCCTTTCTCTCTCAAATAAAGCTGGGGAGAGTTTTTGTAACCCAAAATACTCCCTGCCCCCTGGAGGGAAGCGGACTGAAGAAACTATGTAATAATGAAAGGACATACGCTGCTGGAAAGCGCAACACGTCACGGATATAAAAGCATCAACCAAGGTAGGGTCCACGAAGCTGCTTCCTAGGAACCGAACTCAGCGAGGTGGTTTGCGATCGCAAATCTGGAACCTGACCTGACACATTACTGCCCCATTTGGGGTGTGTTCCAGCCCACCTGACACAGATCAGGCATGGCGGGATCACACGGGATACACCTGGTCCGCCTTAGGACGTGGTGCAGAACAAGGCGATCTGATGCTAATTGCATCTCTCAACTTTGATACATAATTTCCTGGAATGCAAGCAGGCATTTTAGGAAATGGGGGGCAATCTGTCAATCGCAATCTAAAGTGGTCGATCTCCTAGATCCGGATTCAATCAATAATAATCACTTGCGATTGATAGTTTTGGACAGATTATGCTCCTTGCAACACTCGAGAAAAGTAACTAGCATAAATAAAATTCGGCTGCATTTTAAATGCGAAGTGCAAAGACATGCAAGAGATTGAATAGAGCTACAATGTATTTCCTGGTAAAGAAAAAACAACAAAAAAAAAAATCGTTGAATCTTGTCAAAACTAGTCGGAGAGACATGGCTTCAACAATTCAGCAAAAGCGAGGCATCGGGAAGATTGCATATTGTCTCAGAGTGAGCAATTCGATTAGATTGATTATAACAAGGCTAAGATTGCCCCAATAAGCGCCACACCCTTATTTTCAATGACGATACATTCTACACCAATAGAACTGCAGCGATCAGAAGTTGACCGTAGCCCTGGATCTACTCAGAAAGGTTCGCACGCAGTAAAGAAGTGTTGGTGGGCCCTTGACCTCAATAGCAGAGTGAATGTAAAATGCTTGAGATGATAAAAACATGCAAATACATCGATATAAATAAGAGTACAGGGAATACGAAACGACCTAGGGGTGCATTCCCTTATTCAAATACATTCCCAACCGTGCGGCGCGTACAGTTTCGTAACTGTTCCCGCCAAAACCACTCTGCCTGCTGCTGCCCGATGCCGTCTGCTCCGACGGTCCAGATGCGTCCCAACTGTCTGACGCTTCGAGTCAATTCCAACCGTCTGACGCTTCGCGTTCATTCTCGATATTGCGTGCTTCTCTTTGCTGCGGTGAGGAGTGCACAGTAATGTCAAGTATTACTATTCGTAACACCCCCCTTCACTCCTGGCCGTAGCTCGACTTGACCTGCTTGACCACGCCGCTGAGTTCGGAGCAGTGCTGATACTGCTGGCGTGGCAGTCGCTTTGTGAGGAAGTCTGCTGCCATGTCACCGGTCGGGCAGTAGGTCAAGTTGACCTTGCCCTTGTCCACCTCATCCTTCACGAAGAAGTACCGCAGCGCAATGTGCTTGGTGCGGTTGACGAAACCAGGTTTGTTCGCGATGCGAATCGCGCTCTGGTTGTCGCAGTGAAGGCGGAAGGTCGGCGAAGTCGGAATTTTCGCCTCTTGCAGGAGTTCCTGCAGGTAGAGGCCTTCGCGAACTGCTGCGGTTGCTGCGATGAATTCTGCTTCGGCTGATGACAGTGCAACCTTCTCCTGCTTTTGCGAGTTCCAGGGGATTGGTCTCGTAGGCTCGAGTCGGAAAAGGAAGCCGGTCCTGTACCGTCGATTATCAGGATCTGCTGCATGATCGGCATCCACATAGCCGATGAGATTGAAGGATGGAGTTGGTGCAGTTGAGTAGCACAGCCCAATCTTGGGCGTTGAAACGAAGAATTGAAGGGCGCGCTGCAGGTCTAGGTGATTCTCGGCCGTTGGTTTGCGTGAGTACTGCGCCATCTGGCTTGCGATGTACGAGAGGTCTGGCCTGCAGGTGACAGAGGCGAAGAGAAGACATCCCAACTGCTGCTGGTAAGTCTGAATCCCAGCAGGGGATAGGGCTTTGTTGTCAGGTTTGTGGTTCGGTCCGGGGGTTCGGTAGGGAGTTGAGAGGGGTGCAGGTGAAATGTTGAACCGCTTCCCTAACTCCTCTGCGTACTTAGCCGCTGAGAGGTGAATGGCCTCAGGCGCGTAGGAGATGTTGAGGCCTAGGAACTGCTTCACCTCGTAGTTGCATGTGATGTCGACGCGCCCCGCCAGGGCCTTCTCGAACTGCTCGAGTAGCTCGTTGTTTGAACCAGTGTAAAGCAAGTCGTCCACGAACACTGTGAGGAGAATGTATTCGCCGCGGAAATCGCGGCGGTACATTCCTGGGTCGTGCGGCATCTGCTTGAACCCGATTTCAAGCAGGATGTTGTGCAAGTACTGCTGCCACAGCCTCGGAGCCTGCTTGATGCCGTAGAGTGACTTGCGCAGCTGACACACGCGCGAGTCTCCTTCGCCGTAGGTGTGTGGCTGCTCCACGTAAATCACAGCATCCACCAGCGCGTACAGAAACGCGTTCTTCACGTCGATCTGGCGGAGTGGTAAGTGCCTTGCAGCTGCGATAGTAAGCAGGATGCGGACGGAGGTGTGGCGGCTGACTGGGGCGAATGTTTAGTCGAAGTCGATCCCGTGCCTCTGGTCATAGCCGCGAACCACCCAGCGCGCCTTGAAGCGCTCGATCGTCCCAGCTGCCGCGGTCTTCACGCGGAAGACCCACTTCCCCGAGAGGATCCTTGCGCCCTTGATTGCTGCGCGGTCGACGAGCACCCAGGTGTCGCGTGACTCCAGTGCCTTGATTTCCGCGTCCATCGCCTCACGCCACTCCTTGCTGTGTGGTCCAGAAAGAGCTTCGCGCGGGTTTCGGGGCTCGATGATGCGCGGCGCCTTCGAGGTTGCGGTGTGAAGCCCGAGCAGTTGCAGTCCTGAGACGGTACTGTCGTGGTGACGCTGCGGGACGACTTCCTGCACATCGTCGTCGTCGCTCTCAGGTTCAGGTGGTGCTGGTGGTGCTGCGCCTCCGCCGCTTCCGCCCGTTCCGCCTATTCCTCCTCCCGAGGAATCATCGTCGTCGTCGTCGCTGCTGCGCCGATCTTCCCAAGTGAATTCGGCCCTGGTGTCTTGCTCCAGAAGTGCTGCAGCGGCTTCGTCTTCGGGCGTTGCGTAGCTGTGCCCGTTGTTCGCGTAGACGCGATCTGCATTCCTCTGCTCGTCGTCGCGGAACTGGTCGAGGAAGAGACGCTCGTAGAAAATTACGTCGCGAGCGTGAGCGGTTTTCTGACTGAGGAGGTCCAGCACGATCCATGCCTTGTACTCGTGGCTGATGTCGAGATGGATCCCCCAGCGCACGCGGCTGGCAAACTTGCCGATGGTTGAAGTCGGCGGGCGGTATTGGACCATACACCCCCATACGCGGAGCATGGAGGTATCCCCCTTGGTTCCTGTCCACTTGACGTGCGGGGACAGGTTGCCGGTGATTGCGGTGGTTGAAAGCAGGTTATGCACCCGCACGGCGTGGTGCATCGCGTAGGTCCAGTAGATCGGCGGCAATTTCGACTGCTTCATCAGCGTCCGGTTCGTCCGCTCAGCTACGCCCTGCTGCTGGTGCGCGTAGGGGAGAGAGATGTGGTGCTCGATCCCCTTCTGTGCCAGGAAGGTCTACATCTGATTGCTCTTGAACTCTGCCGCGCCGTCAGATTGCCAGATCTTGAGCTT